ATTCATTCTTCGCTCGAGCTCCTCGATCTCTTCGTCTTCATCTGCGTCTCCTGTCATGTCTGGTCCTCCCGCTGCTCCAGACTCAAGGAGTCCGCTGTCTGACTCGTTAATCTCTAGCGCGCGATTGAGGAGGTCGGTAGCCATTGGGTCCTGGGGCGAGACGGCGAGGGCTTCGTGCAAGGTGATGATAGCGTCCCAACTTCTGTTGAGGTTTAGGAGAACCAGGGCTTTTGCGGTGAAGACGCTCGGGTCCTTTATGCCGTGCCGAAGCACTTCGTCGAATGTCTCGAGAGCTTCGCTGTACTGTTCACACTTGCGAAGCGCATGGGCGAGATTTATCCGTGTGGGTATCCAAGCATCTGGGTCTGCTTCGTTCTGCTCTGAGAAGGCTAGCGCGCGGCGGAAGAATTGTATAGCGTCCAGTAGTTGTCCTTCGTGGAAGTAGACAACGCCCATCTCGTTAAGAAGGCAAGGATCGTTCTCGCACAGATCGTATGATGTCTTCAAGTACTCTCGCGACAAACTCAGATTGTTCAGTTGTAGGTTTTGCATGCCGAGGAATAGCTGTGGGAGATGCGAGCCTTGGAAGAGACGTGCCGCGGTGGAGTAGGCGGAGATGGCTTGATCGTGTTCCCCTTCTGCGGCAAAAGTATGCGCAAAGCCTATCCAGGCAGGGCCAAAGTGTGGGTCCATCATGGAGGATTTGGAGAAGTAGCGGCGTGCCTCAGCTATGCGACCGATTGCGAGATAGTAGGTACCAACGGCGAACCATGCGCATGGTTCTGAGGGGTTCGTGTCTGCTAGTTCGTGCGCAAGCAGGAACAGAGTGTTCTTTTCGCCAAGCTCGTGCAAAGACGCTATATGTATGGGCATGATGTTGAAGTTGTACTTGTCGTTCGCTAGGACGGCCGACGTAAGGGCAAGGGTATCGCGGAAGCGGCATAGGGTGAACATGAGATCCGCTTTCGAGAGGACTATGTCAGGGTTCTCGCCAAGGTGGTAGTGAGTCGTGAGTGTCTCTGTCGCGTTCGCAAACTCTTCTGGTCTGGTGTACTTGGATAGGCGTGTTGTGTAAAGGGTCTTGGTGAAGGACGCGGCCTCCTGTGACAAGGAAGGGTTGTTGGCGACGTTGATGGTGTCGAAGTTGAGCGATTCGAGGAACTTCCACTCCTCCTCTGGTGCCATCAATGAGTTGGACATGAGCGCATCGAAGGCCTCGAAGCATTGCACGTCGATCTGAACCGCCGTCTTGTAGCATTCCTTGGCCCGGTCGAAGGAGTTCTGCTTTGCATAGCACACACCTCGAAGATAGCACATGCCTGCTTCCGACTTGATGTTGTTAACATCTTCTCGATCGCGCTCTTCGCTCGTGGGTAGGCGCTCGTTGCGCGAGCCGTTCTTGGTCTGTCTTGCGCCGGCCCGTGTGTTGACGTCGACATGCCGCAGCTTGGTGCGCGTATTCCCTGGCGCCGAAATGAGGTGGGTTGGGTTCTTGTCGCCCAGTATCTGCAGTGCGTCTTCCAATTTCCCCAGCTTCAGAGAGCAGTGCGCAGCGAGGTATCGACATTGGGGCGTGCGCTCAACGAGGTTTCCGCGTGCGAGGAGTGACTGGGTCCTGTTGTAGTTGCCGGTGGTGAAGTGCACCTGGGCTAGCCAGAATGCGTCCTGGTCGTCATCTATGCGATTTTGTCAGTATACGTTGACCTGCCGAGTGTTAGAGCATACCCGTCAAGGCCAGCAGCTTGTCTGCAACAAAGATGGCTGTGTCGTACTGGCAGCGATTGAGGGCTTCCTGGCGCCACTCGCGTAGATATTTCTCCATAGTGTTACTATCGCATTGGGTATAGTCTGTTCAGGCGGGTTAGTGAATGTGCCCCAAATGCTATCCCCAGTCGAGGTGGCAGTCGGCGGCGGCGCGATGTTTGGAGCCAGGGTCGCGCCTGCCCGACGCGAGAGCACATGTTTGCGGGGTGCCTGCAGCAGCGGGCCGCCTTAGTCAGCCAGAAGTTGCGCGCTAGGGTTGCCGTTACCTGGACGTGATTTCTAGCACTCAACTGACATCCAACACCCCACACACGCTCATCCATATCAAACGCGACACCTTCATTTGCGCAGCATAAACCCCACATTCCGTTTCAACGCATTACCTCGGAGCACCCGACCAGCGCCGCACCACACCAGACGTCGTATAACCCGCCGCCATGTCCGAACGAAAAGTGCTCACCAAGTACTACCCACCGGATTTCGATCCTTCGAAGATCACGCGCCAGCGCGGCCCCAAGAATGCCGGTCCTAAGCTGATGACGGTCCGCCTCATGGCACCTTTCTCCATGAAATGTACCCACTGCGGCGAGTTCATCTACAAAGGCCGCAAGTTCAATGCGCGCAAGGAGACGACGGACCAAAAGTACTACAACATCGCCATCTTCCGCTTCTACATTCGATGCACGCGATGCTCCGGCGAGATCACCTTCAAGACAGACCCCAAGAACATGGACTACGAATGCGAGCGTGGCGCGAAGAGGAATTTCGAGCCGTGGAGAGAGGCCAAGCTCAATGAGGAGACTGAAGAGGAACGCCTGGATCGCATAGAGAGGGAGGAGGCAGAGCGCGACGCCATGAAAGAACTCGAGACAAAGGTCATCGATGCCAAAACCGAGATGGCCATCGCGGACGCGCTGGACGAGATTAGGTCGAGAAACGCAAGGCTAGAGAAGGCGGACCGCGAGGGCAAGGGAACCGAGGTACAACCCGATGCTGCCGACGAACGACGCAAGAAGCAGGAGGAAGAAGACGCAGAGGCTGCACGACAAGCATTCGCGAATCGGAGCATGCCTGACATCGGCGAGGAGACGATTGACGAAGACATGTTCGACGCGCCTATCGAGGTACCTGTTGCTACAACTTTCACCAAGAAGCCGAAGGAAAAGAAAGACTTTAGCGCAGCGTTAGGCCTGAAGAAAAAGGCGCCTGCCTCGACCCCCGCCCCTCAGGTCAAAGCCGCCGCACAACCCTCGAAATTATCGACCATGCTCGTAGCTGGTTATGATAGCGATGACGACTGAGCTGTTGGAAGGCTATTCCAAGCGTACAAGAGCAAGCAGGGCATACACGTACCCATGGCATCCCGGATGCCACCTAGGTCACACAATCAGCCACAACGTGGTGTAGATTTGCGCTGGCCTCGTATAGATCGTTAAACACGGTATTGTTGGTGACTATGCGGTGAGTCTGCCATGGCTAGTGAAGGTGACTCATGCAGGACCAGCATCGAAGCTTGACGAGTCCATGAGGTTCATTACCGAACAGTCGCGAATAGTTCCTGCGCCCCAGAACACGGAAAAGGACTATGCGCATTCGACTGCCTTCTTATTCTGGTCGACGGAACCATCTTGTTATGGCATTTGCATTAGGCCGAACTACCGAGGCTGCTCATGTAGCGCCTTGGAAACCGGTAGCGCCGGATTAATACCACACCCCATATCCAACTTAATCTATCCCCAGACCCACCTACCAGAAGAGGTTCTAATGACTTTGTGACTACGTTACCCCGCAAAAATGGTCACCTTCCCGGTCTGACGCTCCTAGGGTTCACCGAAGCTTGGGTACCTAGCCGTCTTAGGAGGGACAGCCGTTGCGCAACGCTCGTGACGTCGTATCCTTGACAAACTATGTGGCAACGCCGGATGGAACTTTATTTCACTGCCTTTATAAGTGGCCTTCCGCCTTCTCATCTGCTCGTCATATCCAGGCTTACCGTATTCCTTTCACGATGCGTCTCCTCACTTTGTGTAGTTTGCTTCCCAGCATTCTTGCTTTACCATCACAGACCCTCGACTTTTCAAGACATGCTATTGCATCTCGCGCCGACTCGTCTCTTACAAACTATCTCGGCGTCTTCTTCCTCGGCGACAAGCCTTCTGTATACTTCTACCTCTCCAATGGCAACAACGCCAACTCCATGACTGCTTTGAACAAAGGCCAAGCGGTCATCAACCCGACAAAAGGCACTCTTGGCGTCCGCGACCCTGCAATCATATCTGGCGGAGCAGCCGAAGCTGGAAAGAAGTGGTACATCATTGGTACCGATCTGAACATCGGGAAGACAACGTGGGATGCATCCCAACGCACGGGATCCCGCGGCATCTTCGTCTGGGAATCCGTCGATCTTGTAACATGGACCAACGAACGCCTAGTCACTGTTGAAGATGCGACTGCAGGAATGGTCTGGGCACCCAGCGCTATCTTCGACGAAGCCAAAGGCCAATACTTCGTTCATTGGGCGAGCAAGTTTTATCCCACTTCCGACCCACAGCACACAGGTCCACCTTCGTCGATCCGCATCCGCTACGCATATACCAAGGACTTCAAGACCTTTAGCACGCCTCAGGACTACATCAACCGATCACCCACCAACATTATCGACCAGGAGTTTCTGGCTCTCGGTAACAACGCGTACGCGCGCTTCTTGAAGGATGAGAGCGCGAAAACAGTCTTTACGGAGATCTCGACTAATGGGCTATTTGGCACCTGGACTAGACCTGCAGGTGCTAACGCCATCATCGCATCTGGCGTTGAGGGCCCCGCGCCTTACTGGGACAACCAAGTAGCCGGCAAGGCGCATCTCTTGCTGGACTTTTATGGAGCGGATGGATATAGGCCCTACGAGAGTACCAACGTAAGGAGTGGCCAGTGGACAGCGAGTGATAGGAGTGCCTGGCCTCAGAACCTGAGGCATGGAAGTGTATTGGGCGTTAATGCGTCTCAGGTGGAAGCGTTGAAGAAGAAGTGGGGGGCTTGAGCGTTTGGATGTCGGTGACAAGGCGGTCGCCCTTGGTTTCACTCGTACCTACACGCTAAATGGGACAATTTCGCTTCTGGAATTGCGTCATGAAAGACATTGCGGATTCCCATCGGGAGTTCCTCTCTATCTAGACCTTGCCTTTGTCCAAACCCCTTGTTCTTGCTATCCCAAACTGTTACTACTACACTTTCTTGAGATGAAGCTGCTATCCTACGGTTGTCTCATCAGTCTTGTCACTTCGGCTACAAGTGGAGTCGTATCTGGACAAGAGCTACATGAAGATTTCACTGCCATCAACTCAAGCTCCAAAGTCTCGATTGCGGCCGCAGATCCCCAACTTGCTGTCGACACACCGCCACCCCCAGACCATGACTCCATATGGCACAAGGCTTATTGTCGCGGCGCCGCCCTTGTCCGAGCCATGTCCCTCGACGAAGAAGAAAGCAACACGATGCTGCAATGGCCTTACACACAAAGTCCTTGGGACGGCGATCTAAAGCCTGAACTGAGAAAATGGGGCTGGCTCGACAACGAAGAGGACAACACGAACATCGACGATTCGTGTGACTTCGATGAGAAGTTGAAGATGAAGAACACTTTCGACGCTCTCGGTGTTGACACGCGACCGGCGGGGAAGGGTGGACCGAATCATTGCTTCAGATTACAGCATAGCAATGGGCCTACGGTCATTCGAGACAAAAATGGCAAGATGCCTTATTTGTCCAGTCAGCGTTACGAGGCAGATGGGAAGACGTACAGGGTCAGTAACCTACACCTTCATCAACGTGATGTTCACCAGGCCAACGTCTAATAACGCAACAGGTCACCGACGCCTACAGCACCGTAGGCATAAACCGCAACGACGGTATTCTCTACTTCCTCAACCGAATGTCACCTGAGCAAGGAGCCGCAGATCTCTGGAATTTGAGACCGGAACAAGTCGATAAAGCCGATTTGCCCAAGATCCGCTCGAGCTCTGACTTAGCTTGGGCGCTCTGGAACAGGGTTCCAGGAGAACCAATGATCAAAATGATCATGGCTCTCCAGATTGTTAATACGCAAACGGCTGAGACGATCATACCGAAGGCTTTGGAGGCGGTGGGAGAAACAGAGCTGAAGAGATGGCCGGGAACGGAGATTGTTGTTGGGTCAGATAATGACGCTGAGGCTGAAGCTGCTCTTGCGCTTATTGGTACGTCATTTCTCCTGCACATCGCATCCCGCTCTCTCTGACACTCTCTAGGCTCGCCCAATGGACTCGGCGCTGGCTACTTTCTTCTACAACACAAAAGGCAGCTCGGTGGCGCAAATTTCATCTACAAGATCACGATATTTAGAAACGATGGCGATGAGTTTGATGATGAGCCTAATCTCATTTTTCACGTTGACAAGAATACAACACCCATGCCGGATGTGGAAGACACTCCTGGTGCGCCGGAGAAACCGGCGGAGAAGGGTAGCGCGGCGGTTCGAGAGGGTAAGGTAGTGAGGAGGAGTAGGGATGGGAAGAATTTGGTTAGAGAACATGTTGTTTGGGCTAAGCTTTGATGGGAAGGCTATAGCATATTGCAAGAGGGTAAGTGCGGTCGTCAAAACCTAACAACTCAAAGGTATTGCGATGAGACAGCATACAGGCTTACACATGAGTTGACCAGTGGCTGAGATACAGCAGTGCAGCATGTTGGGTCGAACGTGCTTTCTCTTTCCCAGCATTTTTCTTATCTCAGCTCTGTGTTGCTCTTGCCTCACATCCCCTCCGCCACCTTCTCTCACCTTCACTTTGTGTCGCAAGCGCCGCTCGCTTGTCCGGTGAAGGCTCCAGTGCCCACCTTCTCTCCTTCCTCTTGTCGTTACCCCGCACGCAAATTTACCTGCAGCACCGCGAGTCGAAAAGATGAAGTTCACGCAGATCTTCTGCATCGTGGGTCTTGTTGCCCTCGGCGCGACTGAGGCCTTGCGCAACCTTACCAACGTCACTTCCGTCACTCTCGAATCCCAGAACCTCACTGTGCACGTCGCAGGCGACCCCGACGATAGCGACGATGACGACGATGACGACGACGATAGCGACGACAGCGACGATAGCGATACTGACGATGATGACGTACGGCTTGACACTCCAGTTCCTGCTACTGAAGCACTTTGGCATGCATCGAAATGTCGGGGCGCTAAACTCATGTTTGCGTGTACCCAGGACCCACCGCAAGCCGCCCGGTTTGTCAATCCCTTGACAGTTCCCTGGGATGGCGACCTCAGGAACGAACTTCTCACCTGGGGTTACAACGAAGGAACTAGTGATCCTGATGACGACTGCGAGATCGGTGTTCTCCAGCCAATGCTAGACGCCCTGGGACTTTCCAAGGAAAACAATCTTCATGGCGGGCCAAACTACTGTTTCTCTTACCAACATCGTGATAGCGCTGTCGTGGAGAGACCAAATGGAATCTTGCCACCCAAGGACAAGCAGTGGTATACTGTCGATGGTGTGAGGTACAGGGTAAGCTCATGCTTCGACTCCCTTCGCTGGCCTTTACTAAAGGCTTTGTGCTTCTAGGTCACGGACGCTTATGCCACCGTCGTCATCAACAAAGCTGCTGGTATAATTTTCTTCCTTCGCAGAGGGTCCGCTGAGCATCAAGCCCGCAGACTCTGGAAGGTAAAGGATCACGTTCCCATTCCGCCAAATGAGTTGCCGGCCCTTCGTACAAGCTCAGACGTAGCCTGGGGATTCTGGAACCGAGTAAGTGGTGAAAACCTGGCGAATATTAATGGCGTCGTCTCCATGTTAGTCACCAACGACCAAACGCGGAGAATTATGGATAGGATGTTGGTGGACAAGAATCTCGAAACGGTACAGCTATGGCCAGGAACTGTGGTGGACGTCCACTCAGTACATTATCTGGCTCTTCTGGGTACGTTGAATTTCTCCATACTCTCCCACTCGTGATGCAAAGCATCTTATGCTTCGGGCTTGGGAAGTCACTGACGACCAATGCGAATCTAGGATCACCCAATGGTAGAGCTGTAGGATATCTGCTGGCGCAACACAAGGCAAAGATTGGCGGCAACAGATATGTTGAGTCTATTCACATATTCCGCCCCTACGAGCACTCGACACTGCCTCACCTTTTCTTCCGCGTCGGTTGGGCGCCATCACCGCCGCCAACAGTACCAGAGGAACCGATAGAGAACTTATTGCCGCCAGAAGGAAATGGGTTTGAAGTGGTTAGAAGAGGTAACGGTGAGAAGAACATCATCAGAGAGCATGTGATTCGGGCGAAATTGTGAAAATACGATCAGAGGCATAAGACTTGAGCCACGATACACCGGCTCACAGATATCCCAGCTTAGTACAGACGGGGGGCTCATTCAATTCCTGCTTCGCGTGAATTGATAACGGTGTCTTTCACTCCCAGACTAGCCACCCTAACGCTTCTGACTCTTGTTGCTTACCTTGAATGATGTTTCACTCATATCGCAAACACTCCGAGTGTCACTCGCGTCATTCCGGGTACGTACGCGTCGTGTCACTGGAACTAGAGCCCTTTACTCCATAGACCCGCTTACATCTCTCATGTGCTCTCTCACCGCAGCGCCTACCACCTCACATTGATCTGCAACATGAGATTCCACCTACTTTCATGTCTCGCCGCGTTTCAGAGCCTCGTCGCGAGCGAGGCTCTGCTACCCTCCGTCAACGAGACGTCACTCGATCTCTCCAGCCTGGTCACTGAAGACGGCCATAGCCTACTCAAAAGAGCACCCATCGCGCCAGCAAACGACAACCTCTGGGTGATTGCCGGTTGCCGCGGCCAGAAGCTCCAGCTAATGGACACCCTCAATCCACAGGAAGCGCAGCAGTTCGGTAATCCGCTGAACAGCCCATGGACTGGAACACTTGTCAACGAGCTTGCGCTGTGGGGCTACCTGGACAACAGCGAAAATAGAGATATCAAAGACGAATGCGACTTTACCATGAAGCCGATGTTCGAAACCGCACTGAAGGCTCTTGGAATCAGCGCGAAGAGTGCCCCAGATGGCGGACCGAACAAATGTTTCTCCTACGTCCACAGAGACAGTGCCGTCGTCCAGCGGTTGCCAAACGGCCAGCTGCCAGCCAGAAACCAACAGCAGTACGTCGTCAACGGGAGAACCTACAGGATCACCGGCGCATTCCACACCATCGGCATCAACGCGCAGGACGGTGTAATCCACATGATCAACCGCCGGTCAGCCCAATCTGCTGCCAAACAATTATGGAACGTCGCCCAAGCTCCAAAAGACCAACTCCCGGCCCTCGCTTCGAGTTCAGACATCGCGTGGGGTCTATGGGAAAGGATGAGCGCCGGTAACCTCGCCAACATCAACTACATTTTCTCCCACCGGATCACAAACGAAGAGACACGCGCCATCATCGCGCGCGCTTTGGAAGGCCGGGAAGTACGACCCTGGCCGGGAGAGGTGTTCGAAGCTGGAATGGCTACGGAATACTGGGCTTTGTTGGGTATGTTCCACACGGCCTCTTGCTTGCAGCATGTTACACAGTGCTAATATATTACTTCTAGGGTCGCCGAACGGCATCGCGGCAGGATACCTGCTCGGACAACATAAACCCCAGTTTGGTCACAACAGATACGTGTCGGCTATACATGTCTTCCAGGGCGCTCCGGGAAGTCCCTTCATGGGGGTACCGGCGTTGCCGTATATGTGCTTCGTTGTTAAGCCGGCGCCGTATCCACCGCCACCTCCTCCGCAGGAGATTCAGATGCGAAATGTTGCGCTGAATGAGCCTATTGCTATCGATGAGGATGAGGATCGAGTGGTAGCGCGGTCTGAAGACGGGAAGAGCATCGTGCGGAGTCATAAAGTGTTTGGGAAGTCGTGATAGAAGGGTGGGGGGATACTTGGATTTGGAGAAGGCAAAAGCTCGATAATGTTTTCTTGTACATGTCATTGTTTCAGGAATGCACGTGTACATTGAGTGCTTTCAATAGAGTTTACTTTGTGCTAGTGATCGCATGCTCTCGAACCGAACCGTTGTTGTCTAACCATCTAATCGTTTCCTTCTTGTACACGAAACCATCTGCTCAAGGCGCAGCATCGAAGGCCGGCTTCTACGTACCTAGTCTGAGCGGCCTGCAAAGACCACGTGTCGTCTTATAAGACTTGTCCCATCCTCATCCCCATCAACAAGGTTCGACTCCACCAGTCCAGTGCCCTTATCCTTGCCCTTGTCCTTATCTTCAGGCTCCGCCATCTCCGGCGGCGGCGAAGGCACATCGTCGACGTAAAAGAGAATGTTTCTCAGCGGGTCTTCCTTATCGGTCAGGAAGACGTTGATCTTGGAGATGTACTTGTCCTTGCCCAACTGTTTCTTGTGTTGCGCAAGGAAATAACCTGCGGCTCGACCGTTCGCGGAACCTGTTGAGCGATCTTGTTAGTAACTGAAGGTAACACGCGATGCTAATGAGAGACACTCACCGATAATCGCTAGTCCTTCCTCTGACTTTGGATCAATCTCCGTTCCTGGCCACTTCTTCAGCTCTTTGATGGCCTGTTTAGCGATCGCTTTATCGATGATAGATTGCGTCTCTTTGTTGTTGATGTACAGGCTGAAAATCTTGCGGATGTCACCAAGGTTATCCTTTCCACGTAGCTTATTCCAGAGACCCCATGCGAAGTCAGAACTGGCGCGCAGCTCGGGTAGCTCAGAGGTCTTTGGGGTGTATTTCCAGAGCATCTTTGCGGTTTCGAAGGGGCTACTGCGCGAGATGAAGAAGAGTACGCCCGCTTTGGGATTGACGCCGAACGTGTACGTGGAAGCTGTGCACTGGGCTCTGTGTCAGTCATTCCCCGGAATTTGCTATGATAGTCGGCTTAGCAGGCTGATGCGCAAACCCAACTTACCCGCTGCCTCTTGCCCGATGGATCAAGATAGTATTGTTTGTCGATTGGCAACATCCGACCATCGGGGTCATCCAGGTAAAAGGGATCTTTTGGATCAAAAAGAACGGCCGGACTGTTGTAGTGGAAGGCGCTAAAACACTGATTGTCTCCTCCGTCGTCGAGCGACTTATCGCTGATGCTGAGACCTTTGAAAGCGGTTGTCATCCCTTGGTGGCCGAAGGCACACCAAGAGTCCTCGTCTTCCCACATATCCCAGGCCCACTTCAACCCCTCTTCCTCGAGGCTGCCGTCCCAAGGGCTGTTGAGGGGATCGATGTAACGTGTGCCCTGATTGCCGTCTCTAGTCATCGCGAGGAAGAGTTTCTGGCCTCGACATACCGCCTTTTCATACTCTTCATCGCTGAGTGCCCGAGTATGGACGACGAAGCCGGGGTCCGCGGGGTTGAAGCCAGCGAAGTCGATTGGAATGGTGTTCCTCCTGGAACCGTGAAGGGCTGAGATGTTTAAGAGAGGCCCACGTGGCGGGCTAAGACGCTCACTTGCGACCAAAGCGACCAAACCCGTCCATGACAAGAAATTGAGTGCCTTCATCGCGGCGAAAAAGGAAGAGCGCGGTAGTGTTTGACTAGTTGAGGCTGAGCGACGGACGGGTACGCGAAAGCGGAGGAGCAGAAGAACAAGTAGTTCCGGCGGGAGGTGGGGAGGTGAAGGGTGAGCAGCCTGGATACAATCTTTGCCTAAGGTGCACGAGCAGTCGAAGATGTAGAGCTGGGGGCTCGACCCACACTGCGTTCTGAGCGTACTACGAAAAAGGTTTAGTTGCAAGCGACTCTACTGTCTTTCCGTTTCACTCAATAGTACAAAATATCACCGCCACCGAGATACAGTGAAGGCGTTACCTGCTCAGCAATGACACTGGCCTTGGACCCTCGACCATCGGAACCTAGAAACCCACGACGGGTGTTTCCACCTCTTCTCCCACGCGTGCAGTCATGCTGCCCGTCGCCGTGAGTCAGAGAACAGTCTGGGTGATGTCAATAGCATGAAGCCGAGATGTCATAGTTGCAAGCCTTTCCTGGCCTTCGTTCCATAAGCTGTGGTTGTCTTATCTTTGTCCGCTGGACCATATCGCTTGGAGCTTTGTTTCTGCGGCCATGCTAATCGATAGAATTTGCTTGAAACGGATCAGTAGTTCTTTGCGGTATTATTGCGCGGGCGTTTGCTGTAGATGCGATTGAAGGTGCGTGCCATCATTACCTGCATAAGCTGGACTGTAATACATCGACAATGGAGACGCGCCGTTCAAACTTTCGTTCATTGCGAGGATGAGCCATCGATTACGCTCGACATGGTGACGGAGAGATTGATGACGGGTGCTGAGCTCCTCTCTGGTGCAATGGTACACGGTGTTGATAGACGCGCCTGAATTGATCAAGTTTAGCGATGATCGGAGCTCGTAGCGTTGGAGCATGACAATGTAGCTGGAACTGAGAGAGAAGCAGCCATTGAATAATGTAGGGAGCGGCGCATTCCACAACCGTTAATCTGGGTGTGGATGGTGAAGCTCAACGCGTCGACGCGTCGTTCGGTCTAGCCTGAGGCGGGATGACATATTAGTCAGCGGGAAATGCCGGGGCAGGTAAGCCGAGCGGTTGCTGCAGCGCGCGTCAACACTGTCAACGGCTTCCATACACTCATCGGCAGATGCTCCATGTGAACGGTGTCCTGTCGAGATATATTTCATTCTGTACCTGTCTATCACGCACAGGTGCATGCGCAGCCTTTGACTACAGCCTATCCCACCCTTCGTCGACCCTTTCGCCGCTTCATCTCCGATTCGCGTCTCTACACTGTTGGACTTTTGCTGACACCGCTCACATTTACAGTCATACACGAATAACATGCTCTTTAGGCACATTCCATCCATCCACGCTGCTTCTCAGTACCTTCGTCTTCTCCAATTCTTCAACAACGCCGATCGCATCCACATTCGAGACGTTCGCCAATTGCGCGCCAGCGACCTCTCCATAAAGATTGGGTACATCTTTCACCCAAAAGAGCAGGGTCGGATAGTCGTCATCCGTAACAGGCCGACGCGCTTTGAAGGCTGTGGTCTTGGAGATCATATTGTTACCTCTTAGTTGCTGTTTGTGCTGGGCAAGGAAGAAGCCGACTGCGATACCGCTCAGAGAACCTGCAGTGTAGTCTGTCAACGCTATAAACCTACAACTTTCCCCATCCATAACAGGAGTATAGCAACAGCTGTCATGCCGAACACACTGGACCTACCTAATATTGCGACTGCTTCGACAGAGGTGATGTCGAAGTCAGTTCCTGGTCATTCCTGGATACTGTCCACCTTTGTATGCCCTGGTGGCGGCCTATAGGTCTCGATGGCGAGGTTCAGAATGCCCAAATTCTGGTCAATATCGCCACTTAGACTCCAGAAAGCTGAGATTGGAGTATTGTTCGGTAAACGATTCCAGAAGTCTCATGCAAAATCAGCGTTACTTCGCAAAGCTGGTAGGTCTCTCGATCGTGGTGTGTTTGGTTCAGCGTCCGCGCGCTATCATGAATATTTGAAGGCATGCTCGCGTTCTGTTCCATTGGATGAGACTCCGCTCTGATAAAAGTCAGCTTTCCTACTTCCTAATGGTGACTGCGGTCAAATCATCCATAAGCCTCTTGCGGGCGCAATGCCCCAGCCCCACGAGCCAGTGGACACGGCGGCGGGAGAGTGGGCATAGGGCATGGTGCGAAGTGGCGTCGCCTTCAACTGTTGACTTTTATCAAATCGTAATTACGACGGCAAAATCGATCAGGTAAAGATGCAATTATCATGATGACAGTGGATGCCCGGGCACGCACAACGTGTGGTAGTTCTTAACTTGTCCCGATGCAGTAGTCCGTCGTGCGTACCTCTGGGGAAGGTTTGCCGAACCCCGCATTACCGTGTACACACACGCGTCTAGCCAGCGCTCGCGTCGAGACGACTCAACAAGCAATTGTAATTGCTTATAAGCAGTGATAGATTACGATGTTCTCTCAGAGTAGTGAACGGAATTCATCTTCTGACATATTTCCATCATGAACGGCCATGCAGAACCGAGCAAGCGTCAACGCTTCGATGTGCCTGCCAAGATGAAAGCATTACAGTAGGCATGCTCGGCGCGAAACATACGATATCTCATTGCTAAGATACTCAAGATACTCTGGCCCCGAGAAATTCGCAGTCGAGACCATCGATGTGCCAACAATCGGTGATGATGATGTTCTTGTACGACACACTATTCATCACCCCGCGGTATTTGCTGCACTAACACACGAAAGGTCAAGATCTCAGCCTGCGGTGTATGCGGAACAGTAAGTACCAGAAGAGGAGAAAGACTCTAGGGAATACATCATACTGACCAACTTAAAGGATTTGCATTACCAGTAAGCTCCGGATGCGAGAAACTTGCGAGGCATGCACTAACTCGGCATGCTCACATCTGCAGCAAAGGCGAGTTTCTGGCAAAGGTGAGATCATCAGGAAATCATGTATTGACTAAAGCTGACTTTCTTGAAGTATCCATTGATACCCGGTACGAGCGATCGTTCAATTCTCCACTCACCTCACTCACCTTCCCAGGCCACGAAGCAGCAGGCACCGTCGCCGCTATTGGCAAGAACGTCAATAACGTCGCAGTTGGTAACCGCATAGCAGCCGATGCCTTACAGCCATGTCTGAACTGTTTCTACTGCACGCGCAGAAAGACCCAACTCTGTGAGAACGTCATCGGGTATGGCGGTAATGTTCCGGGTGGTTTCGCAGAGTACTGCAGATACCCAGCTCGTATGGTCTACCCTATTGGAAACCTTCCGGATCTAGAGGCCGTCTTGCTCGAACCCGCCGCATGCGCAACACATGGTATTGAGAGAATGCGGATGGAGGTCGGAAGCAGGGTACTGCTTTTCGGATGCGGCCCGACGGGCATATTGTTGGCTCAATTGATCAAGATGAATGGCGCTGCTCATGTATGCAGCGCATCCAAAATTTACGCGCAACTACTAACGCAACCTAGTTGACCATCGCCTCAAAAGGCGGCCCGAAACTCGATCTCGCGCGCGAACTCAACATCGCTGATTCCTATGTCACCATATCTGATGATAATCCCGGAGATGACATGGCCGCGCTCTCGACCGACAATCCCTACGGCTTCGATATCGTGGTGGAAGCCACCGGCGCACCGACCGTTCTCGAGAAGGCCATCGAGTATGTGCGCAAAGGCGGCAAGCTAGTTGTTTACGGTGTATACGACGAAAGTGTCAAGATTGCATGGTCGCCCTTCCGGATTTGGGAGAATGAGATCACGATTCTGGCCAGCTTTTGCAGCATGAGTCACATACCGCATGTCTTGGAGTATGTGAAAGCTGGGAGATTGAAGTTGGGCGGCATTGCGAACAAGACGTATCGAATTGAGCAGTGGGAAGAGTGCCTGGACGCGGTGAGGAAACAAGAGGTTGTCAAAGCTGCTATTGTGTTTGACTGATGCGAATCGTGGTAGTAAGTAAAGAGACGGAGAACCTCAAGGCCTCACAAACGACATATCTCTAAACGGTATAGGCGAGGTTCGGAAGTGTATTAGCGTGGCGCTCCTAAATCTATAACTACTTATGAGTACATCTTCTTGTGGAAGTCGGTATTCGCCAGATCCACAGCCCGCTTCGTAGCCTCAATGAGGTCCTCCTTTGGAAGTCCCAATTCATCATTGTTCAGCTTATGATCCCTCTCAAACAAGCCTGCCTCATCGATGAAGTACCTCGTGTACAAAGCTGTCGCAAAAGACATGCGATCACCCATCATCATCTTCTCCCTAGCAGTGGCCAAGCGCTGCTTCAACGGCTCCGACGTAATCTTCCAGTCTTTCTCCGTGGTGCCAGTAACCTTCTGTACCGCCTCGAACATCTCGCGCTGGTTGAGGGCGAAAGACGATACGAAGGTCATGCGGTTGCGGTACTGCTCCAGTGTCGGCCCGTTGCCATCAGATGCCGATACTGGCAGGGATAGCAAGTTCGCCACAGCCAGCCCGGTCTGGGGCCATGTGGCAGTATTCAATCGCTGTTTACCGTCGTCAAAGTAGACGACCTCTCGCTTCGGTATATCGATGCCGAAGTAAGCGCCGCTGAGCGAGTACTCATACCAGAAACCAGAGGTAACGCCTATCCAAGAAGAAACTCCGAGCGACTCGATGAGATTGCGAGCTATCGTCTTGCCAGGCCCGATGGTTTCGTTTTGGATCTCCTCCGTGTTGTACATGCCGAACTCGTTTGGTAGAATCCATGGTACGCCAGCTTGAGCTGCTCCACGGATGAGCTTCTCTTGCGCATTACCACCGAAGACACTCATTGTGATAACGAGTGCATCTTGTCCGGTCAGAGCTTTGACTATGGTGTCTGGGCTGTCGTAGTCGATGCGTGCGACGTTGACGCCGGATGGGAAGGTGGCCTTGGACTCCGCACGCGTGACGGCGGTGACATTAAAATGGTTCTTCGCAAGGAGGGCGGAAGTAATATATGAACCGACGTTGCCATTGGCACCGACTACGGCAATGTTCTTGAGTTTGGATAGCAACGCCATGTTGCTAAGTATGAAGACGAAGGGATTCTGTGCTTATTGGTAGAGTGAGGAACACAGAAGCGTGTCAAATTGTCACTTAAATACTTGGGGGTGACTTCCTTCTATGCACCTCTTGATGTACATTAGGAAATATCAATGTCGGGAGGCATACGGTCGGTATTCGGTCGTAGCCTGCTAATTCCGCCCATGCGTAGACAAGGCGGTGCTCCTATGCTGCAACCAGTGTAGCTCGATGAGCCAATACACACAATGTCGACTGGCAACACTGATGGAGCCTTGTTCAGGCCTCCAGATCCATACAAAACAAGCTAAGTATGCACCGAAGTCCGATCGCTGACATGATCCATCCGAGCTGGATAGGCGTTAAAGCGCGAGCACCGAAGTGTGTGGTGATGTCATCTTCAAATTCGGTTAGCGCGGTGGTTAGCGCCCGGACGCCCATCTCCACACCCGCGGTCAACGATCTCCGCGCATGGAAGACGCGTCAAAAGAAGGGGTGACGGACGTCCTCCCGACTTCTCGTCATGCGAGTGTACCCCTACCAAATCAAATGTCACGCAATGCTCGTTGCGTCTCCGTCATTCCGCTGGAGTCTTGCGCGGACGAATGCCACGCCGCATAAGTCTGGCCGCCTAAAGGAAGCAGCTCGGCTGCAGGCGTTCGCCAATCATGTGTCTTGCACAGCCCCTCCACCAGGGAACGACAGTCTCAGGCCAGCCTGATTCTCTCGAGCAATCGCGACAGCATTGCCTCGACAACGACGCAGAGCCTGCGACATGACGGCTATTCAGGACTACCAGTACCGACCACTCGTGGAAGATGACAACTCGCGCTTCATACAGTTGTATCCAGCGGCGCAGTTCGACGATCCCATACACGTGGATCTCGTCGAGCGGGCGTACGATGTCTCGAATACCGATGGCCCGACCGGCTACGAAGCTTTGTCCTATACGTGGGGCACAGATCTGGATTCGGCTTACATCTTCGTTGCGCAAGATTCTCGCTTGCTTGTCCGTCGCAATGTTACCCATATCTTGAGGTATCTGAGGGACGGTATTGCCCCAGGATGTACTACCCGGATCCTGTGGATAGATGCTATATGTATCAATCAAGCGGATAATGACGAGAAAGGAAAGCAGGTTACCATGATGGGGAAAATCTACGCATGTGCTACGAGTGTGCTGATCTGGACCGGAGAACCCGGACACGACTTGCAAGCGTTCAAGGTCGGGCCTCCAAATAAATACTTCTTCACTGGGGAGGACGACGACATTACTCGTGCAATGAAGTTCCTCGAGACTGGATGGTTTACTAGGCGCTGGGTAGTCCAAGAGGTCATGCATGCACGCGAAGCTTACATTATCTCCGGTAATGGTACCACGCAGTGGCATCAATTAAGTTCCCTTATCAAGATCCTCGAGAAAGCAACTGTCTACAAAGCGTTGACGCCGCACATTATTGCAATGTTGCGCCACTTGAGCAATCTCACCGCAGCACGAAACACAGACTCAGAGGACTCGTCTCCGGGCAACGAAAATACTACCGGTCTTCGAACGGATGATACCGTAGCTCAGGCGGAGAGTATGGCGACACTCTTGACACGGTACTCTGTTACCGAATGTGCAGATGGCCGCGACAGGATATACGCACTGAGAAGTCTCAGTTCGACCTCAATTCCAGTTGACTATGAAGTATCAACGAATGAGCTATATTCTCGTTTGAGCCAGAACGAAGTGGTCCGATATCCGATGGGCATCATGAGCTGTGCTGGGGCCTTCGGTATCTTAGCAGCCTCTTGGATCCCGGACTGGAGATTGCCCATGCGACACAGCCCTTTTCAGTCTTCTCTCAAGATGCAATGCCCGACATTGCCAGGAGAAGGGGTATTGGTTAGCGTTACGAAAAGTTTGCTCACGATACAAGCCACCTTTGGCGGCGTCATCAGCAGTGTTGTAGATTTGCCAGGCAACCCAGGTTTCAGATACGAACGAGAAGACGAGACCCTGTACAGGTGGGGTAATTTTTTCGCCCAACATCACAAGATCGCGATGTCGGAGCTGACATTGATGGATGAAGTGGTCTTGTGTTGTACTCTGAGAGCGATACTTATTGAAGATCTGGCGAACTCTCAACCCTCTGCCCATGTACAAGAGCGGCCATTACTCAGTGAAAAGATAATGCGCCGCTGGGGAACATACAGTACGCAAAGACTTGATGAGGAAGTTTTGCGAACGAAAGCAAGAGATATGGGACTCATTTACACAAGGAGAGGTCGAGCATGCTTCTTTACCGACGCAGGGCAGTTCGGCTTGGGACCCGACTCAATACAAGTTGGCGATTGCCTTGTGAGCATGCCAGGGTGCGACTCCATGATGGCACTACGTCCAGTCGAAGTTGAGCAAAATATCGAGCCGATACATGGAGACATTGGACCATCTCAGTATCCGGCTATGACAGTCGTCGGTGACTGCTGGATACCTGAGCTTGTCAAATCTAATAGGCAAAGTACCGCATCTAATCTTCGCACATTTCACATTGTGTAGAAGGGCAAAGCCTAGCAGCATCTGTACGTACTTTTCTCGATGAATATCTTGCACTAGCTGATAATATAGATGCCGCATCACTACAGAACCACTCCACAAGCGCGATCCTCATACTTATGACTGCGGAACAAAATCACCCCCCGGAGCTTCACCTTCATGGTCCACCCCTTGGTGCTCTTCTTCAACATATTCTTCATCTTCCTCTTCCTCTTCCTCAGTTCCATCACCCATGACCTCCGGGTTCTCCGCATTTCTTTGCGGCCTCGCCCGGCGAGGTCGTCTGACAAACATTGCACCTCTTTGCGGTGTGTGTGGATTGTTTGGCGCTCGGGTAATCACCGGTGTGCGATGTGGTCCACTCTGCATCGGCACTGACCATGCGGCTCTTGCACGCGCCTCACCCCTCGATTGATCCCGACACATACCCGTCGAACTTGCACATCGCCTTCCTAAACCAGGTGAGGGTGGACGAAACTCATATCCCATATGCCCGCGCTCCCTATATTCGAAACCACCATACCCTTGGCCCATTCCACCAAAAGGCTGATTGAGGTTCTGATGGTGCTGGAAATGCTGGGGCCTTGGAGCTGGTGGAGCTGTGTAGTACTCATCCTCGGAAGGTGTATTCCAAGCCGAGGCGGCAAACGGATCGGGCCATCTTGGATGTTCGTGTGCATAATAGCGCGGTTCTGGTCGGGCTGCGGGCATTCCCAGCGGGGCTTGCGCCGTGACGGATGTGCTGAGGCCTGCCATAATCCTTGCCCAAGCATGCAAAGCATCCAGTTCACGAATGAATCTGTGGAGCTCGGATTGCTCGATGAGGAAGTATGTTGATCGCATGTTGGATGGTGTTGTCTTATGAGCTTCGAGGAAGTATATTGATATAGTGAAACCTTCTACTTGGTTTCATCGCAGTGAGGCAGAAGGACTTTCTATATACACGTCCAAAGTACAATGCGCTGGTCTAGATTGGTGCGCTCGTAGGCCACGTCTACTAATTGCGTACTCCGAGAGTGGAAACGAACGCCTCGCAGAGTGTGTGGCGAGCATACGGGATTTGTTTGGCATTGCAAACTAGGGCTGTTCGCTACATCGCACTATACAGTCACGATCAACACGGCCGTTCGCTAAGACTCACGAAGCCACTGTCCAACAGGCTCATTCGATCATCACAAGTATCAAACTATGGAGAAGGTATTACAAACGCGAAGGTCTTCACAATCACCCAATCACAACTGAACTAAGCCACGTCTTCCCGCACCACTCACCCGCTTCATCCATTCCACCGCCTACCCCCTACCATTCCTCCCGCTCTCTCATTCTAACTGCCTCTCCCATATCGCAAACACCCTGAAGACCAATACTATTACAACAGGCAACCAAAACGCTATCAGACCCCTATCCACATTCGTGAACCGCGACACACCACCTACACTGTCTAGCTGACCCGGGTGTAGATAGTCCTGGGTATAGAGCAGCATGCGCACGGCGATGTAGTGAGTAGCGTAAGCAGCAAGACTGGCCGCGTACGCGATTTCGAACAAGGAAAGGGCGAGTACGATGGGTAAGAGGATGAGAGGTGGTAGGGCGCCTTGATTGGCCATCTTGTGATCCGCAGGGTGGTGGAGGACGATGAGTCTCCACAAATTTAGTGAAGCTTCAAGAAGACGGGAATGGAAGTCACAGCAGAGAAAGATGTGATGAATGTTTTATCGTGTGTTTTCTAGTCTATTTTCTCCTCCCCCGTTTCCGTGTTGATAATAGCGCCCTTTACATCAAGCGGCCGCGGTGATAATGTTGATGATGATGAACATGCCCCTCCGTTCGCGTCGCTTAGCCGCAAAGCTGCAAACGCTACTAGCGATGATGCAGCCCGTGAAATGTGTGATGGTAATGTCGTCGAACGCAAAAGTAAACGCAAAAGTAAACGCAAAAGAAGAAAGATAAAGAAAAACGAAGAAAAGCAAACGCCGTGCTTTGTTCTTCCGTGAACTGTGTCCGCCCAGTATGGTATCGTAATGCGAATGACCAAACGCCTTGCTGTGTTCTTATGTGAGCCGTGTCCGCCCAGTGTGGTAATGTGCAGCAGATAATCAAACGCCGTATGCAAAGAGGAAAAGTGTGTCCCGATGCCGGTCGAGATATCCTGTAGCCAAACACCGAATGTAAAGACTGCGAGGTAATCCTGCAGCCAGAGACCGAATGTAAAGACCGCGAGGTATCCAGGCGCCGATCGGGATGTCCTGTAGTTAAACGACAATAGTGTGAAAGTGAGGTGTGTCGGCCTGCCACAAGGGTGTCCAAGCATGCCTTGAACAGATGTGGTGATGTAGTCTTAGAACGAGTTGTCGGGGATGTTCGACTTCGCAGGCTCATAGCCGGCGTAAGGGCCGGCGTAAGGGCCAGCGTGCTGCATCTGCCAGTGCAACTCCGCAGACTGCTCGCTCTTCTGAGCTTCTTCCTTAGCCTCATTGGATGCGAGCCAGATTGTGAGCTTAGACCTGAGTCTCTGATCGTCTGGATCCTCTGTGTTCTCCGATTGCTGCTCTGTAATTGGCTGCGTGACCTTGGCTACCTTGGTGGCTGGGCTTGGCTCATCGTCGTCAGAACGAGGCCGCTTCAGCTGAGGCGCCGGTTGTGTTTGCTGAATACGTTGCGCCTGCGGCTCCTGATGTTGCTGAGCTTGCGGAGCTTGCAGAATACGTTGCGTCTGCGGCTCCTGATGTTGCCGAGCTTGTGGGGCTTGCAGAATACGTGGCGACTGCAGCTGTCGATGTTGCTGTACTTCTGGAGTTTGCAGAATACGTTGAGGCTGTTGCGCGAGCTGTTGCGGCTGCAACACCTGCTGTAGCTGCCCGGCTGGTTGATGCTGCTGCATTTGTTGCATTTTCTGCTGTTGGAGCTTCTGCGCGTTTTGCATCTGCTGGTAGACATCGCAAAGATGCTGCTTTTGCTGTATTCCGGAACCCTGTCTGAATCGTTGCAACTTCTCAGGACTGAATGAGCTGACGTATTGCTGTGTAAATCTGTTGAAGTGTGCCTGTCGCGCTGCCAGCTGTTGCGCTGCCAGTTGTTGCACTGCCAGTTGCTGCGCTGCCAGTTGCTGCGCTGCCAGTTGTTGCGCTTCCTGTTGCTTTGCCTGTTGCGCCGCCATCTGCTGCTCCCGCGCCTTGTGAATCTCTTGCTGTTTACGTTGCTCGATTGCGTTCCTAACGACCTCGTTTTGCTTCTGCGAAGGCAACTGTTGGAACTGTTGCTTTGCCTGCGGGTCCAACCTCTGGAAGTAGGCCATTCCAAACAGGGCAAACTGGCGGTTCAGGCGTGCCTGAGCCTCCTCGGGAGTGGGAGGCTGCGCTTGCATAGTGGTTGGGGGCGGCTGTGGCTGAGTTGATATGGCCTGACGGCGTATGTAGTCGGCAATCATCTGCGGACTCATCCTAGGAGTCGGTAACTGCGCTTGAAGAGGGAAGGCCATCGCGGGATCGTGCGGTGACTGAGTCTGATAGCGACCGAGTGCGCCCTGTGGGGTTTGCGGGCCGCTGGTGTAGCTATTCACGGAATCCCGCCTGACGGTGTAGTCGTTTGCTGCCATGACGAGCAACTGGTGTGGGCTGAAAGAGCAAAGGTAAAGGGTTGTAAAGATGAGAGTAGCGGAAGAGAATACTCAAGGTTGTGGGTGATGGGAATCAAAATAGAGGGTTGTGATAGTCAAGATGGTGGGATGTGAGAGTTTGAGTTGAAAGAAGGTGACAAGGCGGAAAAAGCCAGACTATATGGCCTCTGTGTGCGCATTACCACGCTCACCTAACCGAACGGAGCGAGAGATATTGCGAGAACAGGTGACTCAGTCGGACGGCCGGCCACAATAGAAGCGAAAGGACAAGTGAGAGTGAGAGGGAATAGCAACGGCCGCGCTGCTACTGGCTGCCCGATAGTCGTCGACCACAGAATTCAGGGTCCAGTGATCAAGTCCCTTAACGCCGACATCCCATGAGTCTGACAGCGTCCAGGAGGTTGAAGAAATGGTTAGTCGCATAGAAACCTACATATAATAGTCCTGCAAGACTCACGATCCCAACGATATCGATATTGAGCTAGTATGCGGGAAGGTGAGTGGGGGAGCACGGGCCTCCAAGCGACTTAGAGGGAACTGCGCGCGGGTTCGCCTAGGGACGGATAGCAATGCATGCACGTTTGTCAGCACATTTCGTACTGAATCCAAGGGTGTTAACAAGCGGATGGCTCTTGCACATCGTTCCAAAATTCTCGTAAACTTGCTAGTGCGCCAGAGTACCACAAAGATGCCGCGGTGTTTTACACACTCCGGCAGCCCCAAAGCGCCCAAAATAGGTAAATCAAACAAAGTGCGCTCGTCTCGACCTGTGTGACAGTAACCAATATGGCATCTTCAGACTTCCAGTCCGAACCATGGTTGAGCCCCAGTCCTGAACGTGGACCAGCGTTTATACGTAGCCTGCCAACACGCGTCAGCCCATAGTGCCCCAAACTCCTCTCATGATGAGAGAGCTGTCATATAATACCTTTCCTGGCGCCCTGGAAAAAGAAGCGGACAATGAAGACCTGCAGTCCTGCCATGGTCATAATCAAGCCCGACTCCATCAAACTGAAGTTGAATATCCTCTTCTCGGTGCTCTTGACGGTGCTGAAGTTGCGGTTCTCGCGCGTGCGGAAGTACTTTTGGTTGCGGGAGATGGTGGAGAGTTGCGCGGAGAGCTTGAGGATGGATTCTTCGAGGACAGAGGTCTGCTCGGGGGAGGAGCCCTGCTTGGATGGGATTTTGGCGCGCGCGGCTTCGTTCTCAACCTGTAAGAATATGGAGTCAGCATTACGGTTCGGCGATGTCTGGAGAGATATGGCCAGGTGGTACGTACGGCGATCTCGAAATCGACCATCTTCTCGGCGAATGTGCTCATCTCATTGTTAAAGCAGAAGCGGTATTCGCCCACGTCAAGCGCCGTGAAGACAAAATCGCCCTGCCGCTCCTTGGTGCCGTCGAGAATGACTTTGTCTGTGGGGCCGACAACCGAGTAGTCGACATCGAAAGAGCCTCCGGATTGCACCTGTTCACATGTCCGTCAGCTCGATTGCCATAGATTTTGCTGCTACTGCATGGCGATGTGGTTCTGAACAGCCCAAAAGCAAATGCGCATTGGTCTTCTGGGTGGAACACATACTGCAAAGTAAAAGGCCAGCTTGGTCCCCTTGTTCTCAACGGTCGCGAAGAAGCATGCTTTCTCGTGCGCTTCTAATCGGTAGGTGAGAGCGGTTGCGTACACAGCCGTGGTATATGCCAGCAACGCGCTGAAGAGGGTGAGTAGTGACCGCATCGTGTTCGTTGGCGTGGACGACTGCGTTTGTTGATGCGTGCTCGTGTGTTGGAAGTTACAGCTGTCGACATCGAACGTCGGCGGTAGTTTTTGCCGACGCAACGCATGCAGGGAGGGAAGGCGCGGGGAACGAGCCACCAGCCAATGAAGATCAAGGCGACCGCGGACAGGTAGCGCGAAATGCAGATCCTCGACGCGTAGTCAAGTCACACTTATCATGTTGCGCGTTCATTTGAACCTATTGCGACTGCTAATAGTTTTCATCTTCATTTTCGGAATTGAGAGCCGTGGTATATTGTTACGTTGTTCCTTCCCGGATAGGTGGCTGGTGTCTGGTACCATGGGATGGGTGGAAAATTCAGTCGACAATCACAGTGCAAGTTACACTGGTGACATGAAAGCAGAATGATGATATCTTTGAGACTAATCTACACTGCTTACTTACTGATCCAAAATGATACGCCATAATCATGTGCCCAACGCCTGCGCCAGCCTCCCACGCACGCTACTCCGCCTATGCAATACTTGCAATATTTCAAGCTCCATTGCGCCATGTATGTTGGAGGGTGCGCAACCAACGCTTTATTGCCACTCCCTGTGAAATGCTGGCAAAACTTTGCGGACAATCTCATGCCGATCGTACCCGTGCCGAGTAATGTCGCGCACCGTGCTTTTCTTCGTATCTTACACAGTCATTGCGCTGCTTCAACGAATGAAGATGGAATCAGTCTTTCCCCAAAGCGTCTTTGTCTTGGCGGGGTGTTCAAGACCAAGTGATACATCGTCACGCGCACCTACCAAGTCCCAAAGTACTTCATCTGTGACTTCGTCAGTGCTGCAACATCATCATTGCCAAAGTGGCTTACCGTCATCGATTGGCTCAGGCTTCGCGTATTGACCCTTGCCGACAAGAGAAAACTTGATCTTGTCCAATTGCTTGCCCTTGATCTTGGTGAAGTCTGAGAGTCGTTGTTTTGTTTCGCTAAAAGGCTCGCCCTGATGTATGTTAGTGCAAGTAGAGGAGGTAGGCTGATGGCTGCGCGTACCTCTTTCAGCGCAAACTGGAACGGGATACCATGTGCCTTCGATGGCTCCCTGTCAAAGTGGAATACCGAAATCTTCTTCGATGCATCGTCTTCGGGGTAAGGCGCAGCAAAGATTGACGTGTAGTCGTAGAGGCTCATGACAGAGTGATCTAGCGGGAGGACCCTGTGGAACTTGTTCACATGTGCCTCGTAGACCCGCACCTTTTGCATCACCTCGTCGCTGATGCCCGCTTTCTTTTGCAGCGCTTCAACGAGATCCGCGACTTGGGCATTCTTGGGTACCATCAAAGTGTGCTCCTCCTGTACGACGTTAGTTTGAAGAAAGAGCAATGACTGAGTTCAACTCACCTCTTTGCTGAGACCCTCAGGGAGCCACACCACCTTTACAGGTTTCCTCAGCTCTAGTTCCTTCAGGCTCATATCCAAGACCTCGTAAAACAGGGCATCGTTTCGCTGATTTGCGCTTGCCGAATAGTTGTATGGGCCAGGGAAGAGGATGTTGTTCAGAGTTGACGTGGGGTTGTACTTGACAGGGTTCTTGGGCTTGCCAGCAGTGCTAACCGTCGAGAAGCGGATATAGCTAGAGTCGGTTTTGAGGTACTCAGCCACTTTGCTGGAGAATTGGTCATACGCCATCTTTTTGCTGAGAGTCAAGGAGAATGTGGGTAGATCTGTATCAGGCAGCTTAGGCACGAACTCAATGCTGACTCTGTTCAAGAGGTAGTCGTAGAATTCCTTTGCCTCGGTGTAGCCTCCCGCAGTGGTTATCTGTGCGGTTTCCTTGTCGCTCAGTACGCGCTGGACCGTGATGATGTCACCATCTTGTATCTCCGAGGCTGCCAGTGTGACTTTTGGCTTCATCGCTTCGATCATATTCTGTTTGATCTCCTCAGAAAGCTTGATCTGCGTACCCGCTGGCCAGCCCAGCATCTTTGTGATTGCTGGAGTTAGATCGGAAACCTTGTCCTGGAATCCGGCGTAGAAGGTGCCAACACCGAATAGACTCTGCTCTTCTGCGTCGAAGTGCTTCAAAAAGATCATCAATGGGCGGTTGTTAGCCTGACCCTTGAGGTCCACTAGCTTCTCGCCAAACACTGGCGCACCGCTTTCGTCGCGTTCTTGAGCTTTCTCGATCCACATCCTGAACTGCGACTGTTTCGTGCCATGTTTGCTTGCAGCCTCTTCGACGGTCATCTCCGGGAATTCCAGTGCGGTATCGGGGCGAATTGTGCCGTTTTGTCTATTAACCATCGACCATGGCCGCAACATATCGGCTTCGGTTCCTAGATCTTGGGCGACCGTAACCGCAAAGTCGGCCATAGTTGTGCTTCGGAGCACACGGTAGACCCTCGGACTAGCAGGTGTGTCTGCGTCGGCTTTCCATGGAACGATGTCAAAACCTTGGTGGGCCTTGAACTGTTCATCTGACGCGACCGCAACGTCCATGTAGAGATGAGCTTCCTCGCGTTCCTTCTTCCTGCGCTCAAACAATGCCCGTTCTTCAGCCAGTCGTTCTGCCAGATGCTTCGGTGGTTCTACCGCCTTGCTGTCTATAAGAACTTGATCAAGCCTCGTCTCCCTAATGTATACCAACATGTAGGCGCTCATTGAGCGTTTTGCGGACCAGGCTCTGGTGTAGGGATTGCGTTGGCCAGTGTTCCCGTTGGCCTGGGCGTAGTCACCGCCAAAGTTTTCTTCCAGCGCCTCACGTAGTGTCGCTCGAGTCACACGGTCGTCGTCGAATTTGTAATAGTGGCCGTCTTTCGTTGGCTTCAGGAAGGCGTAATAGTGACCAGCGTTGAGATCACCGCTGTGAACCAAGACGCCGTGGAGGTGGTATATCCAGGATTCGGATCGATCGGCTCCGTCGGAGAGATATGGCGCAGCGTCCCACACTTCGGGGAATTCGTAACGGTCGTTCACCTTCATCATGGCGTCGCGCGTAAAGTCGTATTCGAAGCGCTTCAGCTGGAGATGTAGCACTGGCGGAAAACTCTCGAAGATGACACCCTTTTTAGCGTCTTGCAACCCAAAACCCTCTGCAAAATACTTATTTTCGCCGTCCATGGTCTCGACCTGCACGTAGTCTTTGAAGCTGTCGTCCAGGTTCTTGTTCCCGCTCACATTCAATTGTATGTCCCAGAAATCCTCAACCCGAGACGATTCGTAGTCGACGTTGATACAGGATATGTAGGTCTTCATTTTACCAACGAACATGTTGGTCAGGGCGCCCTCGGCTTCAGTACCCTTCATCCTCTCATCGAGTTTGTCCATGAGCACACGGGACAACTCCTGTACGTCCTGCTGTTCGAAAATCTGCTTCGAGTCCCAACCAAACGAGTGTGTCAGCTCCGTGGTTCCTACGGCGTTGTTTGATGTTTGGAGAAGGTAGAAGAGTCGTTGTAGGGCGTAGGCGCTATTCGAGCGATCGGCTTCCTCGGCAGTCGGGATCTGGTAAACAGCCTGGCGGAGTCAGCTGTCGTTCTATGTGTTGGGATCCGTGGCATACCTGGCGGAACGCATTGGTAAAGAAAAGTGACTGTAAGAGCGAGTTCAGATAGCATGTTGCGCCTTGGTTCTTCAAGCCGACCATGCCGGTCTCTTTCTTAGAGTCGTAGCTGTGCAAGTCAGGAAACAACGTCGGCAAAACTGTACATCTGTGAAACTCACTTGATGAAGTTGTGCCATAACACTCCCGTGGGGTCTTTGAGCACTCTTATGTATGCAGTCACATTGGCCGCATTGTCTTCTACCATTGGCCGTCCCCGGTCCTCCCAGGAGTTGCTGAAGAGTTTTCTCAGCTCTGCAAAGCGTGTGAAGCCCCAGTCGCCTTCGTCGGCAGTAAAGCGGTGGTGTGCGGTGTGTGTGGTGAATATGGTAGGGTCCTTGGGGTTCCAGAGTACAAGCATGAACTCGACACACGCATACCAATCCTCTGGCATTTGCTTTTCTTCATAGGCCTGCTCGAGGTAGAAGGACGCAAAGTCGACGTTGTTACCGTACGGGAAAAATAGTATCCGCCAGGGATGACCGCCGCATTCGAAGATAGGGCCATGTTCACGTCGTGTGAGTTGGCGCCAGTCCCTGATCTCCCATGTGTTGTATACTTCGGCCTCGGTCTCGTACTCTGGGTTCTTGGGCATGTGTCTCTTCATGAAGGCATCGTACTCGTCGGCGCGGGGCTCGGGTTCGGCGTCGACCTCGTCCATTTGGTCGTCTGTGTCGGGCGTGATTATGGCCACGTCGGCCTTCTCGTCGTACTCGTGGTCCACGAGCATGTCGCTTTCGATCTGCGTGGGTGAGTGGGTCAGCGTGGCCGCGTCTGGCGAGACGCTGGCGAAGGCGCAAGCTTACCTGATCCATGGCGGCGTCGTCTTTCCGGGTGCGGATGGAAGCGGGGGCAGATGTCAGGAAAGAGCTGCAGAGACGGGTCGCGGGGGCAGTCACGACTGGGTGCGCTCGACACTGCAAGGTGAAAAGGGAAGCTGCGCGCCTGTCGCCTAGAGAAAGGAAGGTACGGGTGGGCAGCACTTGCGCGGGCGGGATGCGGGTAAGGATAGGTTCCTCGCTAAAGGTGGCGGCAGTGGAGATATGACGATCGGATTATTGTCGTCTGGAAAACTCCAACATCAAGCATGTGCAAGGGCGAGGTGGACAACGAGGGCGCACAAAGACAAAAGCTGGGGAGCAGCTCTCGAGGCTCAGAACAGCAGCTGTCTTTCGACGGATGCAGCCTTGGCGCTCGATACAGTGGAGTGCGTCAAAGCAAAGCCGCGGCCTACGACGTCATTCGTCCAACATCACATACTGGCAAGCGGCATGCCACGCGCATATTTCGAGCTACAAACGCTCACCCAGCATGTTTGTTGCCATTGTGCGTGATATGACTGGCGGTGCCGTGAAATGCGCGCCCCTCTGCTTTTGCGACCGTTAATCAGAGGCTGTGAGTGAAATTCCCAAAAGTTACGCCGGTTAGCGGAGCCCGCCGTCACATGCCCCGTATTTTGCTACAGCTCCGTGAGCGAGCTCCTCCACATGTGCGCTCTCGCACCAACAATTATGAGTATAGGAGCACGTAGTCTCGCGTTGTGCGCGCGACGCTCTGGTATCTTACGTAGAGCACCTTCAGCATCGCCTGTCTCTAGAATACAAATTCGACATCCACATGCCGCAGCCGTCGCGCCCGCGTGGAGACCGTCTTCGGCCTTGGACGAGTGAGCACATAAGAGATGCTCCTGCCAACTTCCACAGCTGACATGTGAATAGATGGGTGCAGCGTGAAGCCAGACCCATAAGTCTGCGCCAGTTGACTTTCTTTGGAAGAACCTTGACAGAGTCTCGTCTCATCGACTCGGCCAACTACTGCCGTCTGGAGCTTCCCACGAGGTGTGATCTTAGTATCTGACAAGCGGAAATATAAGTGCTGAACACGTGTAGACTTGCGCACCGATTGCGTGATATTCAGACCCTACCATACGTCGTCGTCGCGAACCCTCATCTAGCTCATGTATACGAGTCGTATCTACGCGCTTTCGAACGCTTCCGCCGCGTACCTGAGATAAAATCGCTGGAAGATAACGAGAAGTACTGCAAGGTGCTGGAAGAGACGTTGACCGAGCATGCCACTGTCATACCCCGCCTCGCCATTGGTGTTCTCGAAGTTCGGGGCCTGATGAAGGCTGAGGAGACGGACAAGTTCATGACCACCATGTTGCGATCGGTATGGTCTCCGTCCATGCACAGCGTCGGGCAATGCTAATTGATTCAGCGCATCTCGCGACGCGTCATTGCGGAACAACATCTAGCACTGACCGAGACTTTCGATTCGCCATGGCATTTCCCGCAGGCCGAAGTTCATCCCCACGACCAAGAGGCAGTCGGCGAGATATTTTTGCGTTGCAATGCGAAGGAGATAGTCGAGAATTGCGGCAAGACGATGCAGGAGCTCATCAGGACCGCTCAGGGCCCACATGTCGAAATTCCTGAGATCAAGGTCTACGGTCACCTTGACGCGACGTTCCCGTACATCCTGAGTCATCTCGAGTATATTATCGGCGAGCTCTTACGCAACTCTATCCAAGCTGTCATCGAGGAGCGTAAGTCGAAAGACGCCAAGCTGCCGCCTATTGAGGTATTGATCTGCGAAACCTCGCAGCACGTTATTATCCGAATTTCTGATCAAGGTGGTGGCATCCCGAACGAAGTCTTGCCATACCTGTGGAGCTTCAGCAAGGGTCCTAGGCGTGAGAAAAGGCTGCGAAATCTGGCGAGGGTACCAAAACTACTGGGAACATTGCAGGAGCTGCAGGTGCCTGGAGGTGAATCTGCAGCACAGGTGCAACAACGTCTAGATAGGAGGTCCAAGCACGGCGATTCGGGGCTGTATCACGGCTCGCTGTCTTCCTTGACCAGCCGCGCACCAGACCTGCGTCTTGGTATTGGACTTCCCATGTCGCGACTATATGCTGGTAGGTATTTCATAACAATGGCGGGGCTGCGCAGCTAACAATCTTACAGAATACTGGGCTGGCAGTCTCGAAATCCACAGCCTGGAAGGCTATGGCGTCGATGCTTTCCTTCAAATCTCGAAGCTTGGCAACAAAAATGAACGACTCACTACACGAGCCTCAATGGACGCCATTTAGATGGTGCACCCGGGGAGAATCTTGCGGGTGTCCCGCGTTGTCGTGAGGCAAGCGCAATCTTCACGCTGCTCAGTCACAACACAGTACCGCGGCAGTCGCTCACGAGTGCCTTCTCAACACCAACGCAGACATTTGCCTGGATTGCGACCTTCTGTCTGACAACGACATTAGCACTACATCCAGACACCGCCCAATCATCACGACGACGTATTCTTTACGAGCATCTCTCACGATAGCATGTCTGTAGAACATCTCGTGAGTACACTCGACCCGGCTTGCGGACTTTACTAAAGATCTCCCAGCCATCGCTACGCACCGGTGTTGGCGCTACTGGCCATGCCCATCCATCACCCGTAGTCAATCCCGTCTTATCCGACAATGCGGAACGCCAGCACTTGGAAAGCCTCATAGCTAACTTAGCTTTCGATACCGATTTGTACGGTCATGGCTTTCACAAGAATTGCCCGCCACAGAACATGCACTGTCCTCGCAGGAGGAGATCAGGGTTCGAGCAGGAAGGTAGGACCGATACCTTCGAGCATGTTGTGGTACTTTGCTAATGCCCAACAGCGACGGACGTCGATTACCTCGACGTGGTCATGTGCTGGAAAGGCATATCAACTGCCCAAGCTGTCGAGCTCACGATATGGGAGCGCGTCTTTGAGCAATGTCTGGTCCCACAATTCGAGAGTCACATGAGGCGAAACATTGTTGCTGAACTTGGCGCATTACGAGGTACGATACCCATTCTGCACTTTAAATTTCCAAACTGTTACAGACATCGCGTTGCCGTAGGAACTCATACAATGAACAATCTGAACACTCTGGAGCCTACGTCGACGCTGGATCACCTACTGTGCATGCTTCTATGCTGACCAACGTTGCAGATCATATTGCCGAGGACGAGCTCTGGCCTTGCTTGAAACAGATCATGCCCGCCAAGCACAAGCGTCTTGTTCCAATTGATCTTCCTAAACTCATCCACAACATGATCGACGCTTTCTACGATGATTTTCGGGCCGTCCCTACAAATACCAGATGGTCGTTCAGGTCTGGCGACCTACCAAACTTCGTGTATAATTACATCATGACGCAGGATTACCTGCTCCGCTTCTCAGACGGGCTATACATATCGGTCGATGTCGATATTGCCTGGGAAACAATGCCTGTGCTCATGATCTACGCCGCGGTCGTCTCGCAGCCACCCAATATCAAGCTCTGGCGTATGCCCTTTGGCCCGAAAGACCGGAACGCCTTTGTTCTCTACTTTGAACGCATCTTTAGCGAATCAGGATCTTCAAGCTACGAACACTTCCCCGAGGATGTTGTCTGCGAAGTGAAGAGATACAAAACGAAGGTACAATACCCATGAGTTTCCCCTCACGTTACGTTATCCACTTTGCGCTTTTTCTTCTTGATTTCGGTTGCAGACCTGTCCAGTGCTTTCCTTTCTCACTGGAACGCAATTGCAGTTGTTTGCTAGACTATTACTTACAGCATGGCTAGGGTGACACACAGACAGTGTCTGAGACGATCGTTCAAGCCAAGATGGTCACGCAATTTCCAGGTCACGTACGCTACGATCGTGTATTGCGTCATGCGGTCAAGGGTGAAGTTATGGACATTTATCAAGTCGTTGCAACGCCAGACGACTACATACCACAGCAGGAGGAACCGTCGACGCCCTGGGTTCCATCGTACACTAGTACGCCACTGTCCAAGACTCGCCCCAGTAAAGCACGTATTCCGTCTCTACATGAATCCTGGAATGAAGCATTTGCATACTTTAGACGACAGTCTGATAAGAGCCTCGATGACGAAGCGGACATCTCAGCCACATCGATTGCGGACGCATCCGTGCTGTCTGATCCTGACCTGCCAGCTGAATCGCCCAACAAACGAAAGGCCTCATTGCGCTCTACAAGCCTGGACGGAGCATCGACCTTGAAACCGGCGGACTACGAGTCAGACACTTGTCTCAAGCGTCAAAAGGTGGAGTCTTCCGGCCATCTCCACATGCTCACGACTTCTACGTCTACCGAGGTCATCGAGCTGCAGAAGAAGTGCGCTGCGATTGCACAGGACGTTGCCGCTATGCGCAAACAACTCGGCCCACTCGGTCAACCTGTGAACGGCAGTGATTATGATGTGTTGCGTTATAGTGAGGATGTTGTGCGTCGTTTGAGGGAAGCAGTCGGCTCGTCACGCCCCTCGACTCCAACAGTATCTGCCACCAAGTTACCGCAGCCACAGGGCGAAGACCGACAGAGATCTCCTATTGAGAAAGAAAAGGCAGTCGTTTTACCTCCTACGCCTCCCACGGAACAACACGACTCACTGCTCCCCCGATCACCTTCGCCAATCTGTCTCACCAGCGAATCTGAAGAGAGCGGCAGTATTTCTTCAAACTCTGCCACCAATGCCAGCGGTCTAGGTGCTCAGCAGCGCGGTCATGGTGATAGTGCAAAGCGGCACCGTCATTCGAACGAGCTTTCTCAAGACGAGATCCAGAGGAACTATCGCGAGTTCGAGGCGGCTGCTAAACGCAGGCTGACGGATCCCACGTACGCGCCCGTCAGCGAGGTGGGTGACATGAACTTTGAACGCATCTTTTTGGGCGACAGTGAGGCTGAGGATCTGAGCCTAGGTGACACCAGTGGGTTGAGTGAGGAGATGAGTGGATTGGACATGGATGAGAAGTAGATTGGTGGATTGGGTTATTAGTCGTTGCGTGGACTCAATGCTTGGATCAGGTCATTGTCCATTGTGTTGAGTTGATGTTCGCACTGGTCTATCCATAGCGCATGCGTAGTATCGAAGACTGCGTATCTCTTGAGCTTTGTTGCAACCCAAGGTCTAGTAAGTGATATCATTAGGGCATCTACTGCATTCAATACCAACACGCGGAGGCAGCAACCGACCACATAAGCCTTCATAGTCCTGCCTGTCTGCAGCGTTCGACCCGGTAGAGACCATTTCCAAACCCTTCTCGTTCGAACTAGCATTACTAACGAGTAGCAAACGCGTACGAACGAAGAATCCTCTTCGCGCTATGAGAAAGTGCTGGTCCAGCCCAGCAAACATGGAACGAACGCCTTCTCGGCAGTATATGTACACGCCGCATCAGTCATTCTTCTCTACTGCTTTTCCTGCTGCGATGATGGCTATGCATTACTTCGAAGACCATTCTTGGCTCGACTTGCTACTGCTCTCTCTACCTGTTGTTGTACCTCTTTTGATCTCGATCTATTTCATCATGATAGAGCAACCGAGACCAAGAGCGCACGCCAATCCTCTTCCGATCTATAACGACACCAGAGCTTCATGCGAACGGCTGGAGCATGTTATCGGTCCTGCGCTTCAATTCCTAGATACGCCAAATCCGCGAGTACAAAGACGCCAGATTATGCGGCCAACCTCTCCGCTACCCTTCGAACATGGTGTGTACATGCCAGACCCACGTCGCAGCTCAAGAGCTGAAAGACGTCGGATCAACGAAGACGATCTCATCCATCGCGAATGCATTCGTCAGTTGAGGAACCGAAGGTCGCAATACCAAGACTTCGAACCTAGCGAGATGGCACCGATGCAAGAACCAGAAATCCCCGAAATCGTCGCGTCGCTTGAAGACCCTTGGATTCCAGATGATTTCAGATTACCCGCCGCCGTCGAGGAAGAAGAACAACCATCGCCAGATGAACATTCCTTTGTGTTAGTAGATCGCAGTCGCAATTCTTCCTGGGAAGTCGTGTCTGATGCTGAAGAGCGAGAGTGGCAGCATGTTAAGCCTCATCTACGGGGTGGTGGGGGCGACGAGCCGGTCGCGCTCAGGCCTGTTCGTGTTTGCATGTCGCCGGAAGAGCTTCGTGAACATATTCGTAGAAATCGCGCTGAGACGTTGGCGATGCTGGAGTATTATAGTAAAGCTGCGGTAAGGGCGCGCGAGAGGGATGATCAGACTCGCCGGTAAACGGATGGGGGTGAGCAAAGGGTGGGCTATGTGTTGGCCATGTGTCACTGATGGCACATGCAGAATGGGCGGGATGAGTTGAGGCTTTTCGGGCGCGACGTGGACATGTTTTGTCATTTGTTGGGTCAGCGCACGAAGAGACCTCGCTCGGTTAGGACCGTAGTCGCCACATGATGAACCGAAGCTGCTTTCGCAACTGTGTCAAATAATACATTACGGTGAATACCACCTAGATGTGAGCTCCCAAAAATAAAACCGTTCAAAGACAACACACAGACAGCTATTATCAATGTAGGTTGTGTTGATGTTCCGACTCTCCTCGGATGCACGACGGTGATCCCCCTCGCAGCTGCATGACTGTGGCACAGTGCCTAAGGCATGCCACGCGTACCTATTGTGGCCTACATGTACACTCTCACTGTTATCGTAATTTCCGCTCGACGCAATCCATCTTATCAATACTATATTTGTTTCAAGGCTGTTCTTCGAACGCGGCCACGTCACGCATCACTGCACAGATGGAAGAAGGCGCGTCTTCGTCGTCGAAGCCTGTCCCACTTGACGTCATAGAGATCCATCCTACGGCCCCGTCCACGGCAGTCTGGGGGGAGTGTTACATCTGCCACTCTTTCGAAAGGCTATCAGGTTTCTTTCTCCACGCGACATATGCTTGGGCTGATGTTGTTACTTCCGCGCATGATTGCACCTACTGTGACGCGATCATACGCGGTTGTCGTGGGTGGCTAGATGAAGACCGCAAACGCGACTGGACACCGGACAATCTACTGTTGTATCTTGGAGACTCCGAAGATCAGGCCAGCTCGGTCAACATTAGTGCGAGGCCACGTCCTGGTGAACGTCACAGATATCATTGGGATGCGTGGAAGTTAGGTGGCTACTTGAAGAAATGGGGCCATTACTATGTGGAGATGAGTTTTGCATCGACCACCATACGTCTGAAAATACTCGCAGCCCAATGTGAGTCACTACGCGACATACCAGCCAGACAGGACTGGAAGCATTTTGGTCAACCTCTCCCTGAACCTTGGAGCTATCTTCAAAGGGTACGTCCTAGGACCCCGTTCACAGGGTCCAAGGACGCTTTTAAGATTGCTAATACATGGCTGAAAAACTGCGTCGAGAACCATACGGCCTGTCGTATCGGAAGAGGTCAAGCTCTGCCGACACGATTGCTTGACCTTCGTTCACCTGACGACAAAGAAATCATTAAGCTGGTAGAGAATATTGATGGAGATGTGCGATACGCTGCGCTCAGCCATTGTTGGGGAGTCATAAAACAATTCACGACCACTAAAGCCACTCTCCCAGAAAGGCATGAGCATATTCGCCTCAAGGACATGACGAAGACCTTCAGAGAGGCGGTGGAAGTGGTCCGAGAATTAGGCATCCGATATCTTTGGGTAAGGAAGTAGCATTCAATTCATATGGAATGAATTACTAACCTTGTGTGACGATAACTTAGATTGATTCGCTCTGTATAGTGCAGGATGACCATGAGGATTGGGCACGAGAAGCTGCGCGAATGTCCACGGTTTATCAAAACGCATTTGTTACCATTTCAGCAACAGCTTCAAAGTCCGGCGATGAGGGTTTGTTCAGAAGATGCTCCGAGAACGAAGTTCAGTTCGTTTCCAAAGGAGGAGGCCCAATCACATTGATATTTTCCGAAGAGCGTTTCCACGTAGGCGAATTCTTCATGGGAAAATATCCACTCTTGAAGCGCGCCTGGGCTCTACAAGAGCGCCTACTTTCTCCCCGTATCCTACACTACACACATCAAGAAATGGCTTTTGAATGTACAGAAAGACAACAATGCGAGTGCGCCAGTAGGCATGATTCGGTATGGGACAGCGACGCCACGGCTAGGACGTACATGCGCACAGGGGTGTCATCTACAGAAAGTGTACGAATTTGGAAGCTCATAATATGGCACTACAGCCTCCTTGACTTGACTCATGTCAGTGACAAGTTGATGGCTGTTGCAGGATTAGCAAAGACGTTCGCTAAGCCGGAAGACCGATACGTGGCTGGATTCTGGATGAACGGACTTCATGATCAGCTACAGTGGGGAATAAACCCACTTGTTAGCCATCCGAAGCCAAGGCCAGCGTGGAGAGCCCCTTCCTGGTCCTGGTCCGCAGTGGATGATTCAGTCCACTTCTTTGGCTATCTAACTTGGTCCGCCTCACGTCGCTCTTTGGACGACCACACTGCATCTGCCGAGATACTCGAGTGTATTGTGGTACCTAAATCCGGAGACCACTATGGAGAGCTTCAGTCCGGAAGGCTTCGACTACTCGGACGCTGCGTGCAAGTTGTGTGGAACCAAGAAGACCGGCGCAAACGGATCTCGTTCCATGATTCTGTCACGTTCCCCAACGGCACCAGGTATAACTTTTATCTCGATGTTTCGTCAGCGGAAGCATGTGTGCCTGGTACCCGAATAGATGATTTCGAGGTAACATGTATCCTGTTCTTTGTTTCGACTGACCATCGTACCTCTCTTATACTCCGACGTTCAGAGACCGAAATAGACACTTTCGAGCGCATAGGCATCTTGGTGGATTTCAGGGGTGGCAAGGTTCTGGAGGATCTAGACAGCTTATTTCCAAGTGCGAAGACAATAGTGGACATTGTTTAGTCGTTTCACATTCAGGTAATACTTCTTTCGAGATTGCGATACTCGTCTTTGACATATTTTAGTGGGAAGAATCAAAGACCGGCCAAAAGCTACCAATTGTCACTAAGAGAGATAGAGCATGAAATCGAATCGTCACGCGGGTGTGAACGATGTGGGTGTGTCGATGCACGAGGTGAAAGGCACATCGTTGGCAACGTAGTCACATAACGCACCAGCTGACGTGACGCTTCAGCTGGCAAGTTCGTTCAAATACAATCTGCTTTCTTATCCTCCTCGCAAAACCTTCCTCATCACACTCCATATCAGACTCAAGAAATTCAACCACACCCCAAGAGTTTCACAAGCACAACAACTCGACAACACCAGAATGAGCGCACCAACCAACCCACCGCAGCCCGCAGGCCTGATAACATCCTCTCCCCACACCCTCCAAAACTTCGATCTCACCGCGCCTATCCTCCGCTTCGACTTCCCAACGCCCGCTGCCCAAGCAACCTTCCACCGCGCCTTCCTGCAAGTGCGCAACGAAAAGGACAAAGCAGCTTTCATGCAACGTTTCTTCGATAACTACGACGGCCAAGTCTCCATACCTCGGCGTGTCATCATGGATACGAGCCGAGATGAAGAAGTCGCGAGGAGGCTGCAGGAGAGTCTGCCGGTGGAGGTAGATACGGGGAGGGATGAGCAGATGGCGAGACAGCTGCAGGAGCAGATGGAGCAGATGACCAGGGGTGGTTTCGGACGAGCTGGTAGAGGTCCGGTTGATGGAGGACATGGTCGGATGGACGGACGAAACGACAGCACGAACGGTAGAGGATATGGTGGTGGAAGCAGAGGCGTACCCGTGAACGACGAAGACGAAGCGTACCGCGCAAGGAGACGAATCGAGCGTCAAAGGGAGATGCAGGAATGGGCGACCGCGGCGCAAGGATGGACGAACGCGGCTGACGGAGCCTACACCAACGTTATGGAAGGACTTAGACACCAATTTAGACGGGCGGGCCTTCAAGATCCCGGTGCGTATCCTGGACAACCTGGATATGGCAACGCGCCTTCTCGACGAAATTTTCGACTACCGTCTCGTCGCTCTGAGAACCAGGAGGATGAGTTTGAGGGCCATCATGGCAATGGGGGGCAGGGCTATCCAGGATATGGTCAAGGTAACGGAGGGTATGGCTACGGCTACGACCCGCGCAGAGATCACTGGGGTCATTGAGGTGGAGGTTATCAGATGAACGGGTGGTGATATTGGTTCTTGGGTTTGGGCTCAGTGAATCATGGTAGGAGTCTGCAGCAAGCAATCAAGAATTGAAATTGCGGGAGTATTTCCAGTTCTGTCCTAGTGAAAGTGAAAGTGCTTCCGACTCGAAGTTTACCTACTAGACAACAGCAATACTGCTAACGCAAACACCGCCTCCAATCTTCCATTGATGCAGGCCGGTAGATTACCCGCTCGTCAGCCTCATACGTTAGTGCACGCCCTCGAAAAGGCTCTGGTGAAGCTGACGCTGCTCTTGGCTGCTTGCCCTTCTCTGCCCTGGGCGTGTCGTCGTTCGGAGACGTGTCTTCATCTGGCGGCGTGGAAGGTTGTTCGTCCGGTGGCGTGGAAGGGCTGTCTTTTGGGGGAGAGGAAGGCTCCTCGTTCATCAAGATGATACCCTCGCACAACATGCCGACATACTCCGTCTAAGTGTTATGCGTCATTGGTCGCTTGTGCACCTTCCTGACCTTCTGAATGTTGTACCCATTCGCGCAGTGATCAAGGAGATGGTCGAGAGGCATTCCGTCGTCGGAGAAGAGCTCGCCAAGTCTGCCCCGAAAGTCATCGCGGTCGATGGGGTCGTTGTGGATGACGTCGTCGGGTAGACGTTTGCTCAAGATGTGTAGAACGAGGGAGCAAAAGCAGCGATTGGCGGCGTGACCCTGGTAGTCGGACGATTGTATCCATTGGACAAGTTCTGGGACAAAGATCATACGCAGATCCTCTTCGTTGGGCATACTCCACGGGACTGGATGTCGGCCAATGTGCAGAGGTGCCAGATCTTTGGGTCCCGCCTCGTAACGTTTCTTCATGAACTTTTTTTGTCAGAATCAACCTTAGCCTCTTCGGGTGTATCGCGTTTGGATCGATCGTGGGTGCGTCAACCATCGTTGGTGAGTCAACCGTCGTGGGCCCGTCGGCGAGCTTTGGTGATGGAGGTCCTTGCGGCGAATCGCTTCGTACAGGCTCTTTGGGCGTCGCTTCCTTGTGTGTGTCCGGGAACATATCATGCGCGAACCCCGCCTAGACGCCCGGCAATCTCCTCGCACATGCTTTTCCATAGCCTATGGGGCAGGAAAACGACCGCGCCCTGAGAGTTGGTATGGGCGGAGCCTGGTATGCGGAAGTATCCATAGCGATAGTATCTGGACTTTAGCGATGTGAAGGTGAGAATATGAAGATAGCGCAATAACGATGTCGTGGTGTGCTGAAGTGTGATGACTGTGACTGTGAGTGGCGTGAAAGTGGTGTTTGGGTCAGCAAGGTGTGCGACTGCTCTGACCACGTCGGTGTTCTTCCGCTCTTTCCATCTTGTATGCCTTCCCTGCTCTTTCCTACCTTTACATGGGAAGGTGCCGTACCCGAACGGAGCCAAATCACATGCGACGATTACAGTTTCTTCAGCCTCGTATTAGCAGTACGTCGCTCTTGACACAGCGCGTATCTGGGTAAGCCTTTGTACGATCGTACGAGGTGATAATAGTAACTTGGTTCTTGTGTATTGGTATATATTACTATGAACGCGATCGCTACCAAGGTATACCCAAGCTCGGCATGCGCCGGGCCGAGGTAGGATCGAAGCGGTACTTGAACATCATTGGGGGACATCATGTGAGCATGCCGACCCCAAATCCTCCTTGGACGATCTTTACAGCTCTCTGCAATAGCAGAAACAAGCATCCGGATCCTTCCTGTAATCGGAGTAAGCCTGTGCCACTCTGGATTCTGCGACGTGATACATACAACTGTACTCTGTATACCTGAACTGCATCTGCACCAGGGAAGCAAGTGTCTGCACAGCCTTTGTTTTGGCCTACAGAAGGTTATAATTCGTTAGCGAGTGACCAGAAAAGAAAAAGCTAGTACGAAAGATTGCTTACATGCTCGGTTGTCTGCAGTAGAACAGCTCCATTCATCTTTTGGGATCGCGTCTCCACCTTTCAGGCAAAAGTACCTTATCTCGGCAGCGGCGAGTGAGGTGAATAGCATCGCGGCAACGATAGACAACTTCATAGTGAATGATCTAAAATGCTGAAGGGTTTATGATAGAGTGAACGTGGACTGCTGAACAACGTGATTCTCTGAGGCGGTCGGTGGGCAGCTTTTGTATGCCACGAGCAAGCCACAGTCTCCCGTCTCACGCGTGCTACGCCATACCAATCCAAGGAACTGCTCAGATAGAGTTTGAACGTCAAATTTGGCCGGGTATCTCCTGGTAAGATTTGTTAAATTGGGTGCTTACATTCAAGGGCTTGAATTGTGTGCATCTTACCTAGGTACTACCACCTGCATAAAATTGGTATGGCGCGCTACGGCTGTAATGCTGCGTAGCGCATGAACTTAACTATTTTGGATGATGCGGCACGCTGTAGACTTCGGCCCGTTCTCACCTCTTCTACCAGAAGTCTAGACTATAATTCGGAGTTTGGTCCGTTGATACAGCCCTCGAATCCATGGAATTCTGCTTTCGTGCACAATATCTGAGACCAGCAAAGCTACCACTCAGCATGAGAGGTAGTCGTTGTATGGAACGAGCCAAGAACCGTACCTAACTGACAGGAAAAGTTATACTGGCAGCTTTGACAATTCAAGAGTTATCTCAAACAATATACATAAAGTCGCTACACCGCCTGAACCGGCTCGTACCGGCTCGTACATCTGATACAGAACACGGTGTCTGGTGATGCTGGGTAGTATCTCCGCCTCTCGTTCGACTGTCTTAGTGACGCCTGGGTGTTTCCAGCAAGGATGGAAATGTTGTAGCGGCTGACAAGGACGGCGCTCTCATGCAAGAAACGGCCCGCGACGATCTGTTGACCCCTAATTCTCTCATGTAGATGTTCGTCTTCTCTGTGTCCAAGAGTCGAGATCATGCCAAGCTTCTTTGTATACAATAAGCGGTGTGATAAGTTCTAACTCCTCGCAATACATCCTCCATCGATGCGTTGACGAAGTGGCGATCGTCGTAAGCAGCACGCACCTTCCTAGCACATTACCCATGATCAAGCCGCGCTTGGTACGCTTTGACCATCAGTGTCGTCCAGCATGTATATTCAGAACGCGGAAAGAACGACATGAAGCAAGGGCAGGTGCTGGTAGCATGCAGGCACAAACGTACATGGGGCAAGAACGGCCCAACCACGACAGCCCACTAAGGTACACATCGTCTTGAGTCTTGTCAACGTCCCAACGTCAGATACGGTGAGCATCGGTGAGACCTTTTGAGTCTGGGTAAATCTAGAGCTTGTGAGCTCCTCCATCACGTCCCAATTACGATCCACTGGACTCTTCGATATAACAGTTCGTCAAAATTCGTATTCGTACAATGGTATCACTCTTCAAAGCCCATCCACTCGCCTATATCCTCGCCTTCATCACTATCAACCATCTCTTCATCCGATATCCCATCCTCTATCGCTTTGACCCCAAAGTCGAGTTGGGCTGACTTCTCTTTCTCTTCTGGCGGCTGCGCGAGCAGATATTCGATGCGATAGATATTCTCATCGGCCAATCTTGCGAGCTCAGCCTGTATCCGGCGAACAGCTTTCTCAACGCTTCTTAACTCGGCCTCAAGTCCGCCCTTGTTGTCCTTCATCCATCGACCGTGTTTGCTGAGCAGTGCCTCGATCCATACTAGGTTGAACTCCAGATGCGGGGACTCGTCGGCTTGGAGGGCGACAAATCGTAGTAAGCGACCGAGATATACTGATGGTAGGTCCTTGACTACTAGAGCAACATTGCTCACGGGCGTAGCTTCGTATACGCGGCGAACAAGGTTGCGCTCGTTTAGACGGAAAGCCATAACCAGTGCCTTGAGGTAGTCTTTCTGTGCGAGAGTCTCGAGAGTTGTCGCTGGTGTGACGGTGATGTCTAGGTCGAAGGGATCGAATTGGAACGTGTTGTCGAGTGAGTAGATTAGTAAACCTTCTGTTGAAGCAGCGCAGAACGCTCTGCCTGTTGGCGAGAATGCGACAGCAGGTACGCGCACTTCTGGTCGTGTTTTCCGTGCGCCAATGCCCTTTTGCGCACCCGGTAATGTTGTGTCTCGCCGATCTTCCAGATCGGACGCTTCGCCTTGGTCGTCGAAGAGACCTTGTGGCCCGGCATCTGTGAGCAGCTTGCTGTTGAGGAACTCTTGTGTGCCATCGAGAGAAAGGTTCACGGATACAGTGAACTTCTTGAGCAACACACCAGACTGAACATCGTATAGACAGATGTACTTAGAGTTGCCGCCTGCCAATACACACGTGCCGTCTGCGCTGTACTTCACCGACGTAAAGGCTTTGGTGCCTGCTACGTTGGCTGCAGTGCGCCGATCTGACATCTTGCGACCACCGGAAACGTCCCTTCGCGCATCAAGGCCATTTTCTTGTGCAGCATCGGATACGTTCCAGAACGTCAGCTGTCCATCAAGAGTTGTGACGGCTATTTGCTTCGAGTCGGGGCGGAATGCGACAGATAGGATGTCGGCCATTAGTTGTAGCGGCTCGCTTGTTTGGGTGCGAGCAAAGATGTTCCAGACGCGAACAGTCCTGTCCCAACTTCCACTGACCAGCGTACCGGCATCCGGAGAAAATGCTAGGGATGACACAGGGCCCTCGTGGCCAGACAGCCTGTCAAGCAACTGGCCGGTCTGCACGGACCAAATGTGAATGTCAAAAGAGTCGATAGAGCCCGCGCATACGACCTCGCCGCTTGGGTCAACCGCTAGGGACGAAAAGGAAAGCCTCGATGGCGCTGTGAAAGTGCGGAAGTTGCGATACCGGTGGAGATCCCAAGCCCTGATGGAGCCATCAAGACTGGCTGTGAACAAGACGTTTCCCTTCTTCGCGAATTCGCAGGCCGTCACACCGCCCATATGTTCTGTGAACGTGACAACACAGAAACCGGAGTTGACTTCCCAGACTTTGATCTTTCCATCGTCTGCCGCTGTTATGATCCGTTGACCGTCTGGCGAGTAGGCGATTGTGTTCATCGAGTCGAAGTGTCCCTGTTGCTTCAAAATGTACGATTCCGACTGCCATTCCCACACAAGGAGCTGCCCGAGCTTCGACGCGCCAAACGCTAGCCACTCTCCGGTCTTGTTGATGGCAACGTAATCAATGTCGTTCTGCGAGATGCTGAGGCTGGAGATTTGCGCAAATTCTGGTAGCTCGTGGATGAAGAAGGCACCGTGGGAAAATCCTGTTACAAGCAGTTTCGACTCGGGATGGAAGCTGGCGCATGTGACGTGCGCATTGTTCTGATGGAAAAAGTGACGTTCCTGGATACCCCATTGTAGATTCTCGTCGTCGTCCGGGTCGGCGTCGGCGGGCGCATCGTAGCGTAGCATGTATTTCCAGACGAACAGCGCTCCGTCCTTGCTGACTGTGTAGATGGTCTCTTGATCCTTGGAAAACCATGCGCCGACTACTTCCTGCCTGTGTCCGCCCAATGTTGTCTGCGCGTGTCCTTCTGCTTGATCAACGCTCCAAATCCGCGCTGTCATGTCTTTGGACGCGCTCAAGAAAAATCTCGAGTCACTAGACCATTCTATGCTCTGGACTGAATTGTAGTGTCCTGTGTATATCCGGTGTCGCACGAAAGGCGCAAACTCGAGATCGCCCTCCGCAACGTCTGGAGTGGATGGTGTGTGCCATACTTCAATCTGCCTTCCTATGCCTACTGCGAAATGCCGACCAGAAGGAGAGAAAGCGATCGAGGTGACTTCGCCGCGGAGAGAGAAGTGGTAGAGGACTATGCGACGAGGGACATTGGTGAGGACTGCGCGACCGTCTTCATCGACCGAGAGGAGGAGGTTTCCGCGGGGGTTGAGGGCAAGGCGTGCGATGTTCTTGCGGTGCGCAAACGGAAGTGTGTAAGACTTGGAGCTGACTAGTGATCAGCGCATATCGCGAGAGGCAGTCGCAACTTGGAGCCTACCTCACAAGGTCGAAAACCGTGACGCGGTTACCAACGGGCGACAGCAGACATGTGCCATCGGGTGTGAAGAGAAGATTGCCTCT